ATTCATTCATTCATTCATTCATTCATTCATTCATTCATTCATTCATTTTTTGAGTGACTCTTACTATGTAGCTGTGGCTGACCTGAAACTCTATATATAGATAGACTGGCTACCCTGGAACTCACAGAGATCCACCTACCTCTGCCTCCCTAGTGCTTTAAGATTTATTTTTATTTTAAAATTAGGCTTGGTAGTGACTGTCTTTACTAGCTATCTCACTTGAGTTTTTTAAGAATCTTTTAAAAGCCAGGCATGATAGGGCATGGCTTTAATCCCAGTATTTGAAAGGCAGAGGGAGGCAGATCTTTCCATGTTATTAGAGTCCAGCCTGGTCTACATAGTGAGCTCCAGGCCAGCCAAGGCTACAAAGTGAAACCCTATCTGGAAAAAAAAAGTCTTTTTAAAATAAATAAAGTTGATTTAACAAGGTTACTCATGGCTCCCTCTGTCACAGTGGCAACATATTGCAACAGTCAGAAATGGCAAATTGTTATTGTGTATTCATAAAAGAAAACACAGCAGAGCTGCTGGTGTAGTTTTAGCATGGAAGATTCCCATATAATAAAACACTGTAGAGGTGCTATTTAATGATATTAAGCAGATTCTAAGTTGGAAGGTACTTACATTTCCATTTTTTTAAAGTACCCTATTAGACCAGTGTTTGGTGAATAATTCATCTTTACATTGTGCCTTTTAATTTGTAGATTCTATTGGGACTGGTATAGGACTCAGGCTGCTTTGTTTCTTAGCCACTGGTACATCCCTGGCTCTCCCCTCCTCCCCTCCCCCGCAAGACTGGTCTCTCTTTGTAGCCCTGGCTGTCCTGGAACTCACTCTGTAGACCAGGTTGGCCCTGAACTCAGAGATCTGTCTGTCTCTTTTTTATAAGTACTAGGATTAAAAGGCATGCTCCATCACCACCTGGCTAGCCTGGTTCTTTTCTTAACTAGTTAATGAAAACAAAGAATGTCAAGTTATTGTAAAGGTGATTGCAGTGTGTGCTTAAGTCTTCCACATTAGGAAGGGGCACACACACTCAGTGCAGATAGCTCTAGAGGAGTCAGGCTTTGCAGTAGTGACTTGGCCCTGGGGTCTTGCTTCAGTTTCAGTTTACTAACAGAACCATAGCATTTGATGTTGGGCTATCATTGGAACTGAACGGTGTTGTCTGCTCTTCCATAGTGATAGGAACAGTCCTTGCTGTAAAAATTGTCAGTTTGAGACGGCTCAGAAGAAGTGCCAGGAGGCTATTAATGCTACTTGCAAAGGAGTATCTTACTGCACAGGTATGTGTTTCCGTTCTTTCTTCAGGTACCCTGTGGCATGAGAACATATATTTGGAACCAGGGTTAAATACCCTCCGATGAAAGCAGCTGTTGATGCCTTACTGTTTGCTTGGTACTCACTCTTACAAGAAGCATTGTGTGGCAACTGTTGTGCCTTGGGCTGAGTTTTGATTGGTGTTTGCCTCCAGGGAATAGCAGTGAGTGCCCCCCACCAGGAGATGCTGAGGATGACACTGTGTGCTTGGACCTTGGCAAGTGTAAGGCTGGGAAGTGCATCCCCTTCTGCAAGAGAGAGCAGGAGCTAGAGTCCTGCGCGTGCATTGGTGAGTAGTTTCTGAGTCCTGCAGCTGGATAACACCCACTTTTTTGTCTGTTGTTCTCTGCTGCTCATCACAGTGGGGAGAACTAAGCAAGGAATAGGGAAAGCAGCAAGTCAAGCTAGTGTTTGGAGATAGAGAGCCCTGTGTTCAGATACTGGCTCCACACTCCCCTATATGAACTCATTTCCTACGGCATTTCAGACATGTAGCAGGCAGGCTTCATGGAAAAATGGAAAGGCATTAGGAGGAGAAGGGTGGAGGACTGACTGTCCTTACTCTCCTCATATATCATATAAAGCATAGAAGCAGCAACAGATCTGTTCCATGGCAGTAATGGAGGAAGCTCCTTGGAGTTAACTAAAGCCGTTTTCAGGAGCTGTGTCATGCAGGTGGGATTTTCAAAACTGCATTTGTATGTATGCATGTTGTGCTTATGTATGTGTACATATGGGTACATACAGACGTTCCACCATGCATGTGTGTAGTCAGAGGGTCACTCGCTGGAGTTAGTTATCACCTGTGACATGTAGGTCTCAGGAGTCGAGTTCAGGTTTTCAAGCTTGGTAGTTAGTGCCTTTACCCACTATGCCCTCTGGGTGGGTCTTTTGATGATGCCACCAAGGTCTGCTGCCACTCTCATCCCTGCTGGGCCAGCCTGGGAAAGCAGCCTTTTTAATGCTAGCCTCAGTTTTCCTTGGGCTCCTATGCTCTTATTTTGGGAATCACTAGGTCTGAAGGGAGGCGGCTTAAAGACATCCAGGGCCTGGCTTGACTCCATATTTCCACGCCACTATGGAGCTGGTGGATTGGTGGCAGTCCTCTGTTCTATATAGACATAGCTGTTTAACCATGAGGCTGGGACTCACCCATACACTGGAGTGAGCGGTTCCTCCAGGTGGATCACTGCAAGAACAGTAGGCCCTGGGGACAGCTCAGCAGGGAGCACCTGCCTAGCATGCATGCTTGAGGCCTTTGGTTTGAGGACAGCGAAGACAGCACAGCTGCCAGAAAATGATTGATTAACAATAGGCTTTTGTTGCGGTGTGGAAAGACTTACAGTAACCCTTCAATAATGTGATAAAAAAAAAAAAAATGTTTGGCTTTCTTTGTGTCCTACCTGACTTTTTTTTTTTTTTCCTGAAGATAAACTTAGATTCCTCTACCCCCATTCCCAGAGCAAATTTAGATTGTCCCAAGTTACACTGGAGGGTAAAGTTTCATTCTGAGTGGCTATACATCAGGTGCCGACTGCCTTTACCCCAGGTGGTGTCGGAGCTGATCTTGGGGAAAGTGCTATCAAGTCCAGGCTGTGGTGCTCATGTCACTGGCAATTACTTAGCTGCATTCCTCAGGTGGACAGTTCTGTCACAGCTGCGTTGGCCCAGCTGTGGCAGGGTGACAGGAATGTCCATCAGGGACACATTTATGCAGTTTAGACAGTATACTTTGGCTCTATTGTGGAGTTTTCCTGTTGATTATTATTATTATTATTTTTTTTTTTTCCTAATTTTGAAGCAGGGTCTCACTTTGTGCCCACAACTGCCCTGGAACTCACCATGTAGACCAGGCTGGCCTTGTATTCATAGAAATCTGCCTGCCTCTGATCCCAGAGTGCTGTGATTAAAGACATGTATTCCCATGCCTAGCTAATAATTGTTTAACTTTAAAAGCTGAAGAATATGAATTCAGGAACTGTTAGATGAATCTGGAGTGTTGGGCCATTTTCTTCTTGGTGCTGGACCTGGAACCCAAGCCATCACATACACCATGCAGGCAGATACTCTGTGATGGAAACCTTCAGCTCTGTATAGTGCCAGCTTTTAACATCTGGGACTGAAGTCAGAGACTAGTAGTTGAGGAAGCCTGTGGTGGAAGACTTCCGTGTCAGCGCATGCTTCTCTTCCAGACACTGACAACTCGTGTAAGGTGTGCTGCAGGAACCTTTCTGGCCCATGTGTACCCTACGTCGATGCAGAGCAAAAGAACTTATTTTTGAGGAAAGGGAAGCCCTGTACAGTAGGGTTTTGTGACATGAATGTAAGTATCCTGTTGTGGACTTATGCATACATTGAGAGGCACAGGGTCTGACTTGGGCAACTTAAGCAGCCTCGGTCTCTTTTACTCACTCAGTGCCTCCTTCAGAATCACTGCTTGAGCAGTTTCACAGTCTGTATCCCTTCTCCAAGCTAGGAAATTAGGACTCAGTGTCTGAAACCAGCTGTCTTTACCATACAGCCGTGCCTCAGCCTACTCACACATAGAGTTCCAGACCACCCAGGGTTACCAGTGAGATCTGGTCTTAAAAAACAACAAAAAGTTTTGTTACAGGTCTTATGTCTTTGAGCTCAGTTTTGAACTCCAGTGACCCTAGAACACCTGCCCACTTCCTTTTATACAGACCCTGTCTGTACATACTTAGTGAAAGCAAGCACTGGTTAGAAAGATAAAAAGATAGCATTTGTGTTTGGATTGCCCTTGTTTGCAAAATCAAGTACTTTACATATGAAGCCCTCCCCGTCTACTATGTATAATTGCTGTCATTCTGGAGTGCTCCTAGGATGATAGTCATCTTCAGCCTTATCCTGGTTATTCTAAAAGTGGACTTTTGTGCTGGGTGTGACAACACACTCCTGTATTCATAGCGATTAGAAAACAGACAAGCCCAGTTTATGCAGTATACCCTGTCTGAACACACCCAACCCCAGCAGTGTACCAGGAAAAAAAAAAAATTAAGGGACTAATTGTGAAAATGCTAATGACTGGACCTTCTTTCTTGGTTATCTTCATGCTGGAATTACCATCCTGTGTCCAAAGTGGCCAATAAGCAAAGTAGTTTACACACCCATTGTATTTCTAAGGCTTCCTTAGGTCTACATATGCTGTTTGGGATAGTGCAGTATGTTTTCTCCTTATAGGGAAAATGTGAAAAACGAGTACAGGATGTAATTGAGCGATTTTGGGATTTCATTGACCAGCTGAGCATCAACACTTTCGGTAAGTGAAGTATTTCCTGGATTATTTACTAAGATCTGAGCTGATTTCCATGGTCAATCCGGTGTGGTTTCAGAATTTGTGTTGTGACCCAGCAGTAGAAGACTTAAAGTATCACCACATTTGTTATGAAATAACTCTGATGGGGACTGAAAAGATGGCTCAGTGTTAAGGTAAACACTGCTTATTTTCCAGAGGACCTGGGTTCAATTCCCAGCACCCATGTGGTGGCTCATAAATAGCTGTAACTCTAGTCATAGGGAATCCAGCATTCTTTTCTGGTCTCTCCGGGCTGCTCCACATGGCACACACATGTATGTGCAGGCAGAGCACATCAAAATGAAGGTAAAAAATTGAGACAACTTTGTTGCCTAAGCTATAGGTCCATTCACATGTATCTTGTGTGCTTGAGTTTTTGGAGGAGAGTGCTCCACCTGAACATAGTTCAGTCCCATGACCTTGTATAAGAGTTGTTTACCAGTAGATCTCAGGTTTTTCAGAAGGTGTCCCCCCCCCCCCCCTGAGTTTAGCTTCAGGCAATAAAAACATCATCTTCCTAAGCATGCTGTGCTCAGTCTGTTGGCACAGTCCACACAGGAAGCACAGCCTGGCCATGATACACAAGAGCATTTATAGTAGTCTTGTTAAGTATGTGTTTTGAGACATTCACCATCTGGATTATTCACAGGAAAGTTTTTGGCAGACAACATTGTTGGGTCCGTCCTGGTTTTCTCGTTGATATTTTGGATTCCTTTCAGCATTCTTGTCCACTGTGTGGTAAGTCACCAAAGTTTAAGTGATCAAACATGTTACAAAAATGTTGAACATCTCCAAATTCAAAGATTGATGTAAAATGTTGCCAGAGCTATTACAAGTTTTCTAAGAGAGCTCACCTCAAAGCCTACCTGATGATTGTTAACAGAATGGGTACTTAGCTCAGCTAGTAGCGGGCTTCCCTAGCTTGCACAGGGCTCCTTGTGAACTAGTTATAGTGGGGCATGCACTCCAGAAAAGCGTCACAAGGACCAGGAGCTCAAAGTTGTCCTCAGGTGCTGAGTGATCAGCCTCCATACAGCTTCTGCCCTGTGGTTTGGAACATGGCGCTCAGAGGTAGGAAGGCTCTGGGCACTGTGCCAGGCAGAGCTGCTGTTGTGCTGTCAGAAGAGACATTTCAGGACAGCAGCAGCAGCATCTTCAGTGCTTCTGCTAAGGAGTTGAGCGGATTCTGTGTACATGTGGACCATGAAGCTGATCTTTGATTTCAGAGCAAAGCCACTGATGGTGGTTTGTCTCTAGCCACAGAATGAAATTTGTGGCACCAGGCGATCTTTCCCTGCAGAAATACAACATGGGGATCCAGACTCAGTTCCCAGATAAGAGGCTATGGATTGGGGCAGCGAAGTCAGGACAGAAAGACACTGCAAATAGTCACCTTAATGTTTGCCAGCAGTCCTGGCAGCTAGTACTTCCCAGTGCATGAGCGCTGTGGGTCCTGCTGTACATAAACGCTCTTGTCATCCTCCTGCTATTGTGTAAGGTTTCTTTGAAAGAGAGGACTTGGAGCACCCCTGCTTTTGTAGCCATGCCCCTGATGTGTAGAACAGAACTTCTTGTCTGGGGTGTGTGTGTCAGTCGGCATTAATGTGTTCTAATTAGTGACCCTGCTATCCTTTGGGTTTCTTTTTGGCAGTGTGTGGAGGGGTGTCTTGTAGATCTGAGGCCTCAAGTGTGCTAAGCAACCACTCCATTGCTGAGCCACCTTCCCCTGTTGAGGTCTAAGTTCATGCAATCTCAGGAGTGGTAAACGGGAAGCACTCACTGATGGAGGGTTGGGTTTCTTTTAGTAAGAATTCCATTTTTACTCCCTGTTCTTTCTAGGATAAGAAACTGGACAAGCAGTATGAATCCCTGTCTGTGTTTCACCACAGTGTAAGTATGCACATAAAACAAAAAGAACAGTCTCCAGTTGCACTTAGGCCACATTAACAGAGGCCTCAGTAAGAGCTCTTCCCTCTTGGGCTCGTGGAAGTTACAAGGGTCTGGTTTGATGTGAATGGCCCTGAGAAAATGATTGGCACACCTGACGTAGCTGCATAGGAGGAAAGCTGTCAGAGAGGAACCCTGGTCCCCACAACCATGGATGGTGACTTAGCCTCTTAGCACTGAATTCCTGTCATGGATCTTGATAGACGCAAGTTGTCAGAGCGTCTCAGTGCACTGGAGCTCCTGCTCAGGTGGGCCTTGCCTAGCACTAGGCTTAGCATGAGCACAGCCCAGGGCTGCTGTGGATAAGGTTAGATAATGACCTTTGATTCATTTTCCCCCTTCCACTGAACTGATCAATGCCTTTCCAGAACATCGAGATGTTGAGCAGCATGGATTCAGCGTCTGTTCGCATTATCAAACCCTTTCCTGCACCCCAGACTCCAGGTCGTCTGCAGCCTCTGCAGCCGGCTGCCATGATGCCACCAGTGTCTGCAGCGCCAAAACTGGACCACCAGAGGATGGACACCATCCAGGAAGACCCCAGCACTGACTCACATGTGGACGATGATGGCTTTGAGAAGGACCCCTTCCCCAACAGCACTGCAGCTGCCAAGTCCTTTGAGGATCTCACAGACCACCCAGTCACCAGGAGTGAAAAGGCAGCCTCTTTCAAGCTGCAGCGTCAGAGCCGAGTTGACAGCAAAGAGACAGAGTGCTAGTGGGAGCCTTGGCCTGCTCTAGGACCTACACCTGCAGATGTTCTATAGAGCTGACCTAAATCAAAGCATATATTGTGATGATCTGAGAAACAGGGAAACAGCTTAGTAGATGCTGCTCATGTCACATGACCATCACATGGCATCCTGTGTAGGTGGGCCCTTTGAAGAAGTGAGGGAGATCTGGCTTGTATTTAAGGCTTTCAGGTTTTGGGTTTTTCTTTTATAATCTAAAATCTCCTTCAACCTGTGGTACAAAAGCAGAAAAGAACTTGATCCAGCCTCAAGTCTGCAGTCTGTCTTTCTGTATACTGTAATAGTCCCGACTACAGTGAAGCAGTTAGCAGTGAGGATAACTGGAACAAAGACTTTTTTTTTTTCTTCTTCTTCAAATGTGGCCCGTCCTGGCACTGAACTCAAGATGGAGATATGGATGGAGAGTCCTGTCCACACATAGGATCATACTAAGAGTAGTCCTTTCCAGGATGATGAAGACTAACTTCTGGCACAGACTACAGTAACAGCAATATGAACTTCATGATGGCCAGTAACTAGGCGGTTTCTCTGTTTTACAGAAGTGTCTTCACAGTCCTTAACAAAAATTGGGCTGGAGAGCTGGCTCCATAGTTACAAACACCCGGTTCCATTCCCAGCACCCATATGGTGGCTTTTAACTCTGTAACTCCGGTCCCAGGGGAGATGTCCTTTTCTGACCTCCATGGCACCAGGCATGCAGTGGTGCACAAACATGCAGGTAAAACACATGTATAAAATAAAAAAGCCAAGTGCTGTAAGAAATTTCAATATCCACAAAGCCTGTACTGCTTCAAAATACGAGCTTGAGTAGATGAGCAGATGCTCTTACCAGACCCGCTCTGACTAGGCTAGGTGGGCTAAGCTGGCCAGGAAGAACTATCTTCAGACTCAACAAGAGAACTCTCACATGGCCTCTGGCTTCAATGCTTCAGGACCCTGGGTGCTCTGTACTTTATGAGGCATAAAAATACCATTAGCCTGAATTCTGATTTCTATAAGTTTCAGTTCTGAAAGCTTTTTTTTTCCCCCTAAGAATTGAAATGTGCTCACCAGCCAACATATTTTAACCAAGATAACTTATAAACTCCGAGGACAGTTAGCCGAACCTGTGCCTTGTCTCTCCTGAGGACATTTGTTACACTAATACTTGAACATGTACCTTGTGGTATTTGCTCTTTTAACTAGTCATGACAGCCTTATATTTTAGTTACACTTTGAGGATTTGCTATAAGGTGAGTGGGGCGTGTGGGTGTATGTATGAATGAAACAGTCTTGGCAGAATATAAAAATTGTTTTTTATAAAATTGTGACTTTATAAACCAAGATTTTTTTTTTTTGCCATGCACAGGATTAACAAGTTGCTCAGGGTATATTCTGTAGTTGTGGCATTGATGATACCTGCTTCAGTCAATAAATACTGAATGTCAAAACAAAATGCATCAAGTATAACAGTTCCCTGAAAAATAAGTTAGTGGGCTTTTTGATCAATAGTCATAAACAGAAGTTAGGCTTGGAAAAAACATTTAATCAAGCTCTTGATATTTGTGAATCAATGATGTTATGCACATGAATGGTTACTCTTGAAATGTCTGATTACCAACTTGGAACGGTCTAAGGGAAAGATGTGGCCACTTGTTCTTGTTTCCCAGGCTGACCCAGCTCAATGGTCTCCATCTCCCAGCAGACTCAGCTCAGGCTTTGCTTCCTCCACATCCTTCCAGTAAGGAAGCAGCCATGGTAGCGAAGAGACCTTCTTGTCCAGCAGCGGCCAGAGGTGTGAGAACAGAAACTCGTTTCCCATTGGTGACAGATGCAGGCCATCTGATAAGTAGGAGGAGAAGTCCTGTAGGGAGAGGAGTCATGTTGCTGTCAAGTGCTCTCTCCTCAGGCTGGCCATGGGCACACCAGGACCACAGTGACCTCAGTGTGCTTCTGCACAGGTACTTGGGGTACAAGCCCCTTGCTGCCCTGTGTCTAACAGACCTGAGCTCTCAAAGTCGTGGGCCTTCATGTGTGAACTGGGAGGCCATTCTGTATCTCCTGTGTCGTGACATGTTAGCAGAGAGAGGATTAATGAGTGCCTGTGACTTGCTTACTGGTAAGAGAGCTCATGTTCCATGAAGTCATCTCCTTAGGTGTGTGTGCAGGGTTGGGTGATAGGAACATGGACTAGAACAGGAAGGCAGTGGTAAGTCCGGTCTCCATCACTCCTCTCTAAATCCAGGATTTACTCAGAGACCCCCTGACTTGGAGGACTCTTCACTTGCCTAATCCCCAAGACTGTTCACAGGCCGGGAATTACAGTTCCCTGTGCCGTTCCAGCTAGATGGCTCTAACTAGTGATGTATAAGGGAGATTCCCACAGCTCCGACCCTGACTATACCAAACCGGAAAGGACTTGGCAGTAACAGTGCTGAAAGATGCCCTTTCAGTGCATTCTCAGGCCATCTCTAGTGGAATCTTTTTTTCCCCAACTTACTATTTTGGGAGAGAGGGATCTTGGGAAGGGGAGCACATCCTGTGGGAGCGCAAGGAGACTAGGACAGCCTGTGGGAGTTGGTTCTCTCCAACCCTAGTGCAGGTATTCGGGATACTCAGGTCGTTGGGCTTGGCAGTACGTGACCTAAGCAGCTGAGCCATCCTGCTGGCCCTGGAGTAGATTCGTAATAAAACTCACATGCTCAAGCATGAGGCTACGGTGGCTCTTCTGCGCTGGGAGCAGAGATCAGTCAAGGATGCTGATGCAGATTGCAGTCGTGGGGCTCTGAGAGCCTCCAAAGACAAATGGGACACTTCTCAGAAAAGCCCTAACTTGGCTTAAGTTTCAAAAACAGCTTTCAGTCTCTTATAATCTGTGATGTAGCAACTTGAGGTTCTCAAGTCAGCTTCCCGGGACTGACTGGTGTCTCTACCTTCCAGCACTAATCCAGGCTTTGCCTCTACATCCTTTTAGTAAGGAAGCAGCACGTGTCCCTCTTTACAGAAGAACTGTAGAAATATTAGACCCTTCCGGGTCCATGGAGGAGGGGATGGATGGAGAATCACGGGAGGAGCAAGTCAGCATCTGGTTCATCTACCTTTTGTTTACATGGCAAAACTAGACAGCTGTAGGCTGTGGTAGAGTGATCCTCCTCTCCCCTGAGTACTTTAAATACCACCAGTTCCCAGCCCTGGCTCCCTCCTGGGGTCTCACCATCACAAGCAAGCACCCGCATTTTACTAAGGAGTAAAGAGAAGGTCTGGGGATGAGGCCTAGTCACCAGAGTGCTTTTGGCACATGCCCAGTCCCCAGCACCCATAAACTGCATGGCCGCGCACACCTGGAACCGCAGCACTCCACCTCCGGGGCTGAGGTGGGAGTTCAGAAACTCAAGGTCGTCCTCAGTTACACGGCAGGTTCCAGGCCAGCCTGGGATATGTGAAACCCTATCTCAAAATGGGGAGGTGGGAGTGAAAACAGACGAGTCTTGACAACGGGCAACCTGAATTTTGTCACACTATCCTCACCCTAACCTGTCACTGCAGACTGCAGCCTTGTCTGAGATGTCATAGCTGGAACATGACGTGAGAGCCCTCCTTTCTTAACAGCTTTATCCATGTTGCGGGCATCAGACTTGGCCTCTTCACTGCTCAGGACTCGGTGGATTCGGGCTTACCCAGTTCACCTACGGAAAGATGGGCGACTTATTACTAGCTTTGGGCCTAGTGTGGATAATGCTGCCAAAAACTATATAGTGGGTGACTGGACACAACTGCAGCTGCCCTCCTGAGCGGCTGCACTTCGTGTCAACTAGCTTTATGTATGTGTGTATGTTTTCAGGCCTCCTTCTTAAAAATTTTAAAAATTTATTGTTTTTGTTTGTTTGTTTTTGAGACAGGGTTTCTTTCTCTATGTAGCCCTGTCTGTCCTGGATTCACTTTGTAGACCAGGCTGGCCTGGAACTCAGAGAGATCCCCCTGCCTCTGCCTCCCCGAGTGCTGGGATTGCAGGTGTGCACCTCTGCACCGGCTTGTTTTCAGGCTTTGAGACAAAATAATTCAACTAGAGCATCTTGAGCTGTGGATTTCGCTAGTGAACACATGCCACTGTTTTGTCTGAGCTTTGTCCTGTTCTTTTACACAAGGACTTGGCACTTACGGTGCCCTGGGTAACTGCTAGCTAAGATTCTGGATGCAGTAGCTTCTTCAGCTTCTCCAGGTCTCTGCTCTGCCCAGTTTTCCTGGTGAAAAGCGTGGCTGACACGTCTTCTGAGACAACGGTTTTATGTAGCCAGGCTGGTCTCAATCACCCCTGATCCTTCTACCCCCCTCACCTCCCAAGTTTTAGGATTATAGGTATGTACTACCATGCCTGTCGGAAGAGCTCTCCTCGGAAAGCTGCACACACCTGGTCTAACTGTGTCATCCCAATAGCCCCCATGAGGACTGAGAAAACCATGGTACCTGGTTGTCCTTCTGCATCAGGGTCCACAGGTCAAGGACGTCAGTCCCACAGTCTCTGGCTACTTGTAAACATGCTTTAGCATATTCACCAACAACAGAGTTCAGGCGGTTTAATTTGCAACCTGTTGGTGAAAACTCCAGAGGGTCACTGGCAAACTTGGTGCTGGTCCTCACGAAGCTACATTGATTGGGCAGTTTCTAAGTGCCACTGATACCATTCTGCTTGGGGCTACAATGGTACTGCTCCATAAAGCACAGGACAGAGTGCAGTGTGGGGAGGAACAGCCAACTGTTCATCCAGAGGCTCCTAGGTTCCAGGGTCAGGGTGCAGAGGCTGACCAGCAAGAGAGCAGACCCTAGTGAGTTGGATAAGGGGCAAGAATGGGCATGGCTAGATGTCAAGATCATGAGAGACACACACTGCCACGGAGACCCCAGTGTCAACACACAGCCGACAGCTACCGCAGGAATGTGAGAAAAGTCTGCAGTCTGCGGGGAGACTGGTCTTTGCCTGGGCTGCTACTTCATGGCTGTGAAGATGCTCGACCATTCTGGGGCTTTCCTAGTCTGTGTGCTGGCCATCTCATTCATGCAGATTCCCGTACAAAATGCACATATTTAACCAAGCACGTGCTACCTCCTAGTCTACAGGACCAAGGAGATGGAGGAAGCCCAGCTGGGGAGAATCTCCGGAGTGCAGGGGGGATACAGAGAGCCTAAGAGGCTAGGGGAGAGATTTGGGATACAGTAGGAGCTGGGCTGACCGCTGCCTGTGAGGAAAAGGACAGCTCGTCCCTAATTTTGACAGACCTGTGCTGAACAGCCATTAATATGTCCTCCAGTTTCAAGCAGCCCAGACAAAGCCCACAATACACCTTTCCAGTCAAGTATGTCAGCACGACAGCTGCTGTGCTGAAGGGACAATGCATACAGGGAAGAAAAATGGAGGGATCGGACCATCATTCTTTTCCAACTGCCAAAGGAGGCAAAGAGCAAGCAGCTCCTAGCAGCTGGAGAGGGGGTCATCTGCAAGCGTGGCTGCAGGAGCCTTCCCCAGGCTGGGGGAGAATGAGGCCCTGCAGCTGGCACGCGGGCTGTGTGTGCATCTTGGCGTCTGGCAACTTAAGACAGTAGGGAATGGGGCATCAGTGCTCGCCTGACTTACAGCCAGAATCCCCTGCCCTAATTTATGTCAAAACAGTCTGTAGCAGTTCTCAACCTGTGGGTCACCACCCCTTTGGGCAAACCTCTATCTCCATAAGAGTTTACACTATGATTCAAAGTTACAGTTATGAAGTAGCAACACAAATGATTTTAGAGTTGGGAGTCACCACAACATGAACTGTATTCAAAAGGTGGCAGCCTTAGGAAGGCCGCCAGCCACTGTCTAGGGGAGACTGGACTGACAGGCCCTCATGCGGAAGCCCTCAGCACCCACATCCGGCTTTGGAGCCAAGGTTTATTCACCTTTCAAGATGCACTCCTTCTCCCAGGCTGCCTCGCAGAGTGGGGGCGGTGTGATGAGGATGACTTGCTCCTTGGGGATGTCCACAGACTTGAGGTACTGCACTATGTCCCGCAAATTGGCCCCGTATTCGTCCAAGGGGACGTGCTGCTTGGGATTCTCATCTGTTCAAGATAATGCAGATCTCAGTCTGAAGTGCAGTAGAAACAGCAAAAATAAGATGAAGACCCTTCTGTTGCTTTTTAAATCTTCTTTCTGATAGAGTCTCACATAGGCCAGACAGGTTCTAAATTTACTATATAGCCAAGACAGGGTCTTATGTAGCTCTGCTGGCTTGGAACTTGCTATGTAGACCAGGCTAGTCTGGAACTTGCAGAGACCCTCCTGCTCCTACCCCCTGCCTCCCAAGGGCTGGGATTAACGGCCTGCACCCCCACACCCAGCCATATTTTACATCACACAGAGAAGGGAACTGAACTCAAGATGTATGTGCGATAGGCAAGCACTCTACCCACTCTGTGACATCCCCAGGCCTTTGTGTTTTGAGACAGGATCTTACTCTTAAATGGCCTGGAATTTGCAGCGATCCTTCTGTCTCTACCTCCTGGCACTGAGACCACAAGAGTGTGCCACCACTCCCAGGTAGGAATGTGGTTTTGCAAATTTACAGTATCACTGAGGTACTGTTGAGTTCCAAAAGACACCAAGTCTTACACCGGGTTACTTATACAGTTCTCTTTGGAGGCTGGCTAGGGGACCAAGTGTTAGGTTCCCCATCATCCAGAAGGCTGGATCTGTAGGCTGTGACATGACTGACTGGCTCTAAACCCAACTGTCACTGCCTGGTTGTTTAGCCTTCTGAAGCTCAGTGCACTCACTGGGACACAAGGTAATGGCAGGTCTGCCCCTTTGGACAGCTGTGGAAAATGGTTAGGTGTGTAAAACACTCATCAGACTGCGAGGCTTGCCTCCAGGTGGGCTGGCACACAAACACAAGGCGCTCTGCAGGAAGTAAAAAAGGAAAGTCGTGGCACACACCCACCTCCCAGCACTTTAGAAGAGGCAGAAGGGTCAGCTAGCCTTAAGTACCGAGTTTGAGGCTAGCCTGTGCTACAGAAGTTCTTGTCTCAAAAAACAACAACAACAACAACAACAAACAAAAAAAAAACAAGCAAACAAAAAACAGCAAAAAGGGACACTCCTTTCTTGGCAGAGGGTACGGGCCCTGGAGGAGAGCTTTCTGGTGCCAACTGTTATCATGTGAGAACATTCGAGGACAGGAACAAAGTGATTTCAGGTGAGCCAACAAGGCAGCCACGTGGAACATAAACCCTGGAGCACCTGTGCCAATCTACCCACATCAAAGCCCAAAGAAACCCACACAGATGAGGCCTAGAGACACACTGTTCTCTGGAAAACTTTCTGCTGGGAGATGCAGAAGCAGTCTGGGGGAAAAAGTATATAAATATTTATCTGAGTCCAGGAAAACAAAAATGATCGAGAAATGCCCTTACCTTTGAGGGTAGAGTCATTGGCACCAAAGAAAATTGTAACTGCCACTGGGGTTTCCATACCACTCCCTTTCCTAATTAATCTCGGAAGGATAATCTTGGCCCATCTGGTGTTGTAACCTGAAAATCCACGATTCAGAACGTCACATTTTCTGAAATAAAGTGGTTAAAAAGATGGGTTATGATCAAACAAATGTTTCTCCGTCCTGGGGGCTAGACTGTGGTAACGCGTGCTGTGTGCGCTTTATGATAGTGCTCAGTCTCTGCCCAGCCTCCCCCCATGTCCCTCCGTGAGATGAATTCCATACAAGGGGCCAATTCTATACATTTTAGTCGTGGCTCGGGGTACACCTAAAATGGACTTCAATGGACATTAATCTGAGCAAGCACAGAAACCCACTAACAGGCAGAACCCCAGGGGTCTGGAAGACTACAGGTGGCCCTCCAGGCCAACACAAGTGCTGCCAGACCTCACCGGAGACAAACCTGATCTGGCAGAACCCGAGTGCGGGCCTGGTGTTCCTTCCCTTTAACAAGCACCCAAGGAGGGAACCGGCTAACAAGAGAAAACCCACTGTTTTCTTTGAGACTATGCTTCCCTCTAGAAAGCAGTCAACGACGATCCAGGCACTGTTCTCACCTGACTAGCCTGTCAGCCAGCGATGCGCCCCATCCACCTTGCTGGAAAGAAAACTGAAGAAAAAGCCCGTTACTATCCACGCAGCCAGGCACAACGGCAAAGGTGTTGGGCTAGGCCCTTTAGATGCAGGGTATGTGGGCACCCCGAGGCCTCTCGCGGTCCTTGCTTGGGAAGGTATTTTGGGGGTCACTGTCGCTTCACTTGGTTCTCTGGAAATGAGGTTTTCTTCATCCAATGGCCCCGAGCCAGTCATCTACAGTTTACTGCGACTTAACATTAGAGACGTTTGTTATCTGTACAGGAGAAACTTAATTATGTCGAATTAGGCGATGCCATCGTGCTATGCCACTTCTCCACAGCTGAAAACCAAAAAGACTACGCTCTACTGATTTCCCCAACAGTCCTGGCAATCCTGCAGCAGCAACGCGCCACCACGCCTGCCCACAAAAACTTAGTGTCCGAGTGTCCAGTACCGAAAAATAATGCTGTCAAGTATTAGGGAAAGCCACGTATTAGAAAACCCCAGAGAAGCTTTTTCTGTCTCCCTGAAGGAAGGCATCTTGACGAATTTCCTTAATTGGGAGTTAAACGGTCTCAGGGTTACTTTGGCGTACTGTTGAAAGCAGCTTCCCAAACCACTTGGTACTGGACCTGAGCCGCGGGAGAAGGCCAGGGGTGATCTGGCCGGCTCAAAGTTCAAAGCGGCTTCGCCGAGGAAGCCGCGGGAGGCGAACACGGGGCGACTCCGGGCCCTCCGAGCTCCCGAGCACCCGGCCACAGAGTCCCCCGGGCAGCCCGGCGACCGCCCCTGCCCGCGAGGTGCACGGCCCGCGGGGCACGAGGGGAACGGCGCCTGGCCCGCCCCGACACGCGCGCCGACGCAGCCGAGGGTGCGGCGGGTACCTGCGTGATGGAGTCCCCGAAGAGCAACACGCGAGGCCAGATCAGAGAGCTCCCGCTGGCCGCCCGCTCGCACAGCGCCATGGTGCCAGGCTCCGGATACGGAGTCTGCGCCGGATGTAGCGGCTCCACGCGCTGGGGGCGGGGCTGGCCGTGGGCGGGGCTAGCCCGGACCCGGCAGCTCTCACACCTCCTCCAGCCTGCGTTTCCGGGCCCGGCAGCCTGAGGACCAGGGCTGTCTTGGCCAGGCTTTCGCCAAACCCGTCTCTGAGATGGGCGATAGCTGTGGTGCTCTGGCGACCTCATTTCTAGCAGGCGCACCCGTCCATCACTGGGCATGCCCAGGTGTGGCCTCGATGGACAGTTAACGGGGCAGCTTTGAAAACCAGAGCTGTCCAGGACCCTCACTCCAGACCGCTAGACTCCACAGCATCGTGTCCCAGCAATTAAATCGAAACGTTTAGCTTTATATGATAAGGTTTTGTATGATATGGGGCCCTAGACTTTTATACGGGCCAAAGACATGGGAACTTGTTTTTACAGAAATTTCATTTTCAGGAAGAGTCAGACTTACTTTGTTACCAAAGCACAGGCATGTTTACACACTCAAGAGCGGAGGTAGACGGGACAGGCTACCGGGGTGCAATTCTTTGGCATGGTAGTGAGGTGGGGTACTAGGAGTTTCTGCTCCGGGAAGAAGGGTGGCAATCACTGAGAATCAGCCCTCTTGCCCCTTAGTTACTTCCTAGTCTGTAGATCCCATAAAAGAAATGAGTCCGAAAGCAAGCGGTGATTTTAAACATAAACTAAGGAACTGGGCAAGGGGGTGGAGAACAGGGCTTTCCAACTTGTGGCACAATATTGATTCAACTCAAAACACAGAAATGCCAGCACAGACCACTGCTTCTCTTTTCCCAGGACAGGAAGACAGGTCTGACTCTTACTAGATCTAAACATTCAGCACAGACTGAGTAAACGCCTCAGGTAACAGGCAGCTCCTCGGAAGATTAGTTCAGGAAAAACAGACAAGTTAGTTGGTGGCCCAGCAGCAGTCAAGACATGTAATGATCTCTTGTATATAAAGTAAACAGGCACCCCGGAGAAACTAAGGTATTTTATTTGAAGTAACAGAAGTAAAGCTGAGAGCGTAAACAGTTGAAGTGCTGGGAGGCAAGGCTGTCAGTGCACGGGCGTCAGGGCCTCGTACAGTCTCTGGGCCGCCAGTTCCACCATTTCTCGGAGGGATTCATCGTCTTCACTTCCTTCCTCACATTCTACAACCTGAAAGCGAAAGCACGAACTTCAGCCTGGAATTATCCCCTGGAGAAAACCAACCATTTAGGTAGGGTGAGAGTCACCGACCCGCTCTCCTGTCACTTGCGGTGCCTGTCCACAGTGACTGGAGAGCCAAAGGGGCGGGCACGTGGAGCTTTAGGCCGAAGCCTCTACCTCTGCTCACTCCTCGATACTCCATGCAAGTTAGTCTGCGCAGCACAAATTATTTAGCCAGCAGCAGATGTGATAAATTGTTCACCATTTAGTGCTAATTTGACTTTAACCATCAAATGGCCACTGCCTTGTTGTTGCTGTTTTTTAAAGACTGTTAGTTTCACTATACAGACTGGCTTCAATCTTGTTATTAACTCGGGCTAGCCTAGAACTTGTGATGGTCTGCCTCAGCCTCCTGGGCTTACAGACATACATTACTTTACTCACCCAGCTTATGGCAGCTCATGTCTTACAGCTTAACTACAAAACAGCTCCAGGCCAGCTTGGGCTACAGACTCACAGGCAAGCCTGGCCTATAGTGCTATTTGTCTAAAGCTGGCGTGGCGGTAACTGCCCGATACCCTAGCACTGGTGAGGCCAAGGCCAGCCTGGCTACAGGGTGAGAACCTATTTTACAAACTAAAGCAAACCACACCAGGCCAGGGCGTTGGGATGACAGGCGTGCGCTTCCATACTATCCAGCTCTGTGTGCTATCAGGGACCCAGGGCTTTGTTCACGCTATGACGGCACCTACCAACTGAGCCACACCTCCAGCCTCCAAATTACCAGGGTGCAATCCATCTTCACCCTATTCCCCAAATGTCTGAGACACACAGACAGCTACATACCCGCGTCTCCAAATTAATATTTGCTGTTTTCCCGTCCACCGTGACACTGAGGACAGAGTCATCTTTCACACTGACACAGTCTTCTCCAAATATGTCCCTTTAAGTGAACAGAAATTTGATATTACTGGAAAAGTCCAACTTTACCTGTTTGGGGGGAAGGTTCCAGTCCTGAAGTGGGGTGTTTTCAGCTGCCCAGGAAACTCGCTGTGCCCTTGGCTATCAAGGCCCTACAGCAGCTCTATCCGTGAGGGCGCTCCGCTGCTCCACTGAGCAAGCACTGGCTTTGCTTTTGTCTTGAACACTGGGGACTAAGCTTGGGGCTGTGCACACCAGGCAGGCATGCTATACGGCCCTTTAACTAAGTTGCCTAGAACTTGCCTCTAACTTCTGTGCAGCCTAGAATATGCTTGGACTTGGGATCCTGCAGTTCGGGACCAACCTGGGCAATGCAGTGCCGGGGACAGCCTGTGACAGCAGCACAGAGCATACAGATGAGCTCCCACATCCCACCAGCATGACGCTCTGCTCTATCAGGCCAAAGTCAAGGCTATTCGGCCATGGCAGAGCCCTCTGAAACCATGAGCCAAATGTACTTTTCTCCCTTTGTCTTTTGCAGGCATTTGTCTATAATGAAAAACTAAGTTATTCTCTCAGCAAGCAAATGGGAGACCGGCACCTTAGGCACTATATTAGGTGCTGAAATTATAAATTAGTGTCCACTATTAAGAGAGCACCCACAGAAAGGCACCCGACATTAGAAATGTAGTGAGTTTAGAGACATTTCACAGTTACAGACTTACTGGAGAGTCTAGAACGCCCACTTTATCAAATAACTCACACCTGAGCAACCATTTAAAATAAGTCTTAAAGGCCCAGCGGTGTCAGCTGAGACATCAGCACCCAGTCTTGACAAGCCTGCTAGCTCCCCGAGCCCTGTTAGGCGGGGCACAGCGTGGACTTGGACATAAGTTGGGCCGGGAGCGGCTCGGGGACAGACCCTGAACTCCGCCTCCCCGTGCCAGCGCAGCCGGCCCACACTTACTGCAGCATGACCTCCAGCCGCTTGCTGTAGACATGCAGCTCCAGCTTCTTCGAGACCTTCTGCACGGCACCTGCAGGACAAACGGCTCAGTTCTCATACTCCCATCCAGTCACAGCACCACAGATCCGGAGGCCTGAGTAACCACGGAGACCTCAAAGCTAAAGCACGAGACGCGCCAACTGCCCGCTAAGGCAAATTCATGGGCACTGTGTTATTTCATGTTCTTTTGAAGGAATCATGATGTTCCAGTTCACTTTTATTTCCCGTATTTCTCAAACTTACATCTGAGTACAGGTGAGCAAAATCACAGGTCCAACAATTCCAGAGCACACATCTGAGTGCAAAGACCTCTTTTGTATCTAAATGTTAAGTACATTTAAATCCTGACACACCATCTGCTTATGAATGTTTTAATAACATCAGTACTTAAGGGGCTGGAGTGATGGCTCAGAGGTTAAGAGCACTTCCTGCTCTTGCAGAGGCCCTTGTTCAGGTCTCAGCACCCACATGGGGCAGCTCTCAACCGTAACTCCAGCTCCGGGGAATCTAACCACTCTGGTCTCTACAGAGACCTCCACTCACGTGTACATACACATGTAAGTAAAAGTAAATTAAAAAAATAATTAAGGTGTCTGCCTATTAATAATTAGTTCCTTTTTTTTGTTTAAACCCCAAGAAACACAGAACTTGGTGGGCATGATGAATCATCTTTAACCCTGGGCTAAAGGTCACCTGGCACATCCATCCATACCTCCATGGACAGTACGAGCCACACAGAAAGCACCACAATTCACAATCTCTGCCTCCCCAGAGGGCGGACAGCGTTGACCTCCAGCCCTGCCCCACTCAGGACCTGGGAAGTGTGCACATACACACATTCCTTTTCCCCTGAGCTGATGTCTTACTATGAGTCCCAGGCTCGCCTCACGCTTGTGCAGCTCAGACTGGCCTCACGCTTGCAGGGACCCTCTTTCCTATCTAAGTGCTGAGACTACAAGAACGTGCCACCACACTCAGCCTCTTTTCATTGTTTTGCTTTTTGATTCTATGAGACAGGATCTCTTGTAAAGTCCAGGCTGGCCCCAAACTTGCTATGTAGCTGAGGCTAGCCTTGGATTCATCTTCCTACCAAGTTCTTGGATGATAGGTGTGCACCACCATACCTGGCCAGAACCCCTTTCGGTGGTGGGGAAGGGTCCCAGGACTAGATGCACATTAAGCAAATGCTGTCAGCACTGAGCCACACGGAGCACTGGACACAGGGCTAAGAGCGAGGATGAGCCAAACAAGCAAAGACACTTTGCTCACCCAAGTGAGGCTCAAGTGAGGATGTGGACGTGCCTGTTTATTCTGGTGACAGACTGGCCAGCATAGGAAGACTCAGGAAGTGGCCAGCCCCACGGTCTTCGAAACCAAAGTGCTACCAGCGCATGCCCACTGTGCGCGTGTAAGACAGGAGCACTCTACACCGAACAGGCTCTGACATCATGGGAAGGGTCCAGTGTGGGAGGCACCTCCCAGAATCAAGTCATGGTGGCTCCTTGCCTGGTGGCGCATCTGGATAGGCACATTGTACCACACCGTGCAGCCAGAGCCAGAGCCAAGCATGGCTCACGTGCTCGCTGGCCGGGCCACCACTCTATCCAGCACCGTCCTTTGAACATGAAGACAGCAATCTTCCTGACAGAGATGCCAGCTCGGCTGAGCAGTATTTTAGCAGCCCTGTACACAGCATTTTAGGAGAACTATAACTAAATAGGGCTTTAACCTTTGTGGGACCATGCCCAAATTCCTACCATGAAATGAAAATTAAGACACTGAGGATCTGCTCTGTTGTGTGTATACCTCAAAATAAAACACTGAAAAAAACAGGAAAAGCTAAGTTCTACTCAGGGCTCCACTGAGTTTTAGTTCAAAGGACCC